ATAAAAGACAATTTTTTCCATTTCAAATTTTCGTATAGTTTTTGCATAGTTTCACACAAAAGAAGTCGTAACCTTTTTTACATTTCCGCCTCGCTGCAGACGGAAAAATTTGGACAAAATGATTAAAAGATTTTGGAAAATGAGTGCCCCATACACTTGTTCGCCAAAATTAACACAGCTGAGGCATACCGTTTTAATTTGATCAACGGCGAATGTTTCGGTAATGCAAACACATAAAGCATTTTCAAAACAAACTGTATCGATAGGGAACCAACCACTGATTTTCGTCCAGTGCCGGAAGAAAGCAAAACCACGAACAAAATGCCATATCCATTGGAATTTTATAAGCACGTGAAGCAGATTGAAAAAGCCGAATTTTCGCAATAATTTCAAATTCTTTTCGGCGTTTTTCAAAATTTATCATCCCTTCTAAAGCAAAAAATCACTCGAGTAACAAACCCTATCGAAACTTTTTCAACACAATGCATAAGTAGAAGTTACAAATTTTTGGCCCAAAAATCTGTCTGCAGAAAATGACTGGAACAAAACTGTTTTTTCGCAAAATAGCTTCCTGTAAAAAAATGCCCAGTTTGATGTAACTTCGAAGTCGGAGAAAGAAAAGCTTATGTCAATGGAACTGTAGAAAGCCAAATTCCGTCAACAACAGTTTGAAGAGGCATAGGATACTCAGCGATTGGAAAAAATTTTAGGTCGCTTACTGCTGTACAGCAACGACTACAGGCTGCATTAAATTTGACCTAATGCCAGAAAACACATGTCCAACAAAAAAAAGCAAGAAATATTCGGATATTACCGTCGGTGAAATCTGGATTGGCATGATCGATCATGGCAAGATCAGTGAGAAACGTTCCCAAATATGGTACAGTTCCCTGTGATTCTGCCAAATTAACATCACTTTTTGTTCGACGACAATTCTGGATGAGTTGTGGCCGCCTTAATGGAGAGCTTTTTGCCGTTCCTTCCTGGAAAAAAACACTGCCAAAATGCAACTGTGGGAAAACCTTTCATGGAAATAATTGCATAATTTTCATCGAAAAAACTGCCAACCAATGTACGTTTTCTGCGATCAGAAAAGTCAAAGTGCCTCCTCTTCTCCTTATAAAGAAAAAATTGGAG